AAAATAAACTGAATAAATCCACATTATTTATTAACATTTATTGAAATGTAACAGGTCAAGGATTGTTAGGATTAAAAAATTACATAAATGATAAAAGGCATTCAAATCCTTTTTAGTAGGGAAGAAACGATTTAATAACTACATTTATATAAAATTTATTTCCATTCTTGACAACGCTAAAAAGGAAATAAATATAAAATGAGGTTAAAAGGGGTGTATTTGTGAAGAGCATTACAGTTATGGTGGTATTAAAACTGGGTCTTGAAAGATATCTAGAATTTGGTCTTGATAAAAGAGAATTGTATCTTATTAGCAAAGACACAGGAAAAAGTACATGGTGAGTGAGGAGTAACTGAAGTTCATTACTCTTGGTGGGGTAGAAGTTATACATTCACAGCAGAGTATGGGAAAGGACCTGTGTGGGAAATCTGTCAGCCAGATGCGTGAGATTCATATCCTGATTCTGGTTACTTAAGTTTTTAAACTGCATTTTTCTTAAGCTTATATACAAATAACAATATCAATTTTATTGTGTTAATGTAAGGATTAAAAGAGATGTTCCCTGACACAGAATAGTAAGTTACAAAAATGAAAATCTACTTTGTTAGTTGAAAGTGAATGAAACTGGATCAAGTTAGACTGAACATACATGCCTACCATCTCTTTCAACAAAATACTTAAAAATAAAAAGATACCATCCTTAAAGTTAAAATGCTGAGAAATACTTTTTACAAAATGGTCTGGTGAAAGCAAAAGAATACACAAAATCTCTATCAAATCTGAGAGAAGAGAAACAGTTTCAAATGAACTGATATGAGCAAGATCAGCAAATCCCACAGATTAGACATGAGAAAACACATGCTTTGTTAAATAAAGAACTATCTTTGGAATACCTGGCCTAGCCATGTTTGTTTCCCTTTTTCCCCACCTACTGCCCTGGTTTTACTCTTGTCTCTTTCCCTAATGAGTACTTAGGGCAATATTTTTATGAAAAGATTCTATATTAATTAACAACAGATAAGCAGGGGTAAAGATAAATATGTATACAAAGCTACAGCATGGAATAGGAACTGTAAAAGAGAGGTACAAAACTCAACAGGATAAATAATCATCTAGGGATCAAAAATACAGGAGAAAATTTTAAAAACATTAA